GCTTCCCCCTAGCAATCAGTTAAATGCAATTCCTCTCTTCAATCACCAATAATGTCCATTTGTTATTTCTAAAGTTATTCAAAGAAAAGGCTTCTAAAACTCTTTATCAAAGTAATACTTATTGTGTGAGGATACAGAGACAAAAGGAGATCTCTATTTTATGCAATAAATTGGATTTGATTTTGAATTCTGGGCATGAAACTATGCAAATACCAAAAATCAACATTTGACAGTTTAAGTGGGAAGGAGGACACTCAGACATTGAAAAAAGGTAACAGAGCGCTGCTGTCAAACACAGTGGGTAATAACCCCAGCACTAAAGAAGAACATCCAGTAGAATACAAATTCAAAGTTTCAATATTGAGCCAAATGGACACTCTGATGCTTTCTCTAAACACCTGCTGACATTTTAGTTTTGAAATATACATGTGGCTCACTCTTCCTTCTGTAAAATTGCAGCTGCAATCAATTCAGTTGACCAAATCTTAAGAGTGCTATCTGACCTGTCAGAACTGAGCATGTTTGAATCATTAAGATCCTGTGGACTATGCAAGGAGGCCTGATGTCAGAACTGAAGAAATTCTGCAGAGATCAGCATGGTGTACATTCTACATTGATATGGGCGGAGGTTTTGCAGCCCTGGTGCAGAACAGCATGAACTCAGGATGTGGAAGAAACAGTGGCCGAGGAGTGAAGGTGGAACAGCATGAACACTTTCAATTTTAGCTTTTCCCAGATGACCGAGAAAGAGAACAGATAATTTTGAGAAGTTGTCAACACCATCATAGAGGTAGGTATTTTGAAAGCCTTTCCAAATCACAACTGCTGAGTGGGGGTTTGAAGCATGAATTACAGTCTGGAATAGTACGAAAGATGAATACAAATAGAGTCTGAGGTTTATGTGTACTGTTTAAAGTGAGTAATGACAATATTGTAAAGAAGAAGGAAAAGTGACCACTAAACAATGTAGTTCCCAGGTTGCTATTTGTTACGACTGTCAAGTGAAAAGATAACATTGCAAACATGGAAAATAAAAAATCAAATGCATTAGAATAGCTTATCCATTGGATAAAATTACAGCATTATTCAGTATTGAAAGGTGAGCCCAATGTGACATTCGGACCTAATTGTTTAAACTCCCTACATTGCTATCATTCACTTTTTGCAGAACAACCCAAACATTAATTTGGCAGTTTAAAAATTGCGATTGGATTTTGATCTCTTGTTCATTTTTTGAGCAATCAGTTCAGCCATTTGCTTCTAAACGTTGACGGATGCATAAGCTTTTGACTTACTACAAAAGTACTAATGTATTCTGTAGTGCAACATTTGTTTATTCAGCTGTCTTGGGGAATAAGAGTCTTCTTTTTATTCATTCATGAGATACGGTCACTGCTTGCTGGGCCAGCAGTTATTGCTTGTTCCTATTTGCCTTTGAGAAGGTATTGGCGAGCTACCTTCTTGAACTATTACAGTCCACTTGGTGTAGATAGATCCACAATGGATTAGAGAGGGAGTTTCAGGCTTTTGACTCAGTGATATTGAAGAAATGGCAATGTACTTCCAAACAAGAGGGTGTGAGTGGCTCAGTGGGGAACTTTCAGGTTAATGGGTTTGGACATATGTATCAGATTCTGAAGAAGATAATTTTTTTCAAGTGTTTATCTAGTGACGTTTGCTTATTTAATAGATTAGTGAGATTTTTGATGATTTCTAAATTGTATTATAGGGCTTGCAAGTTCAATTTTAAAGTGAACCCTGTGTGAGTAGGTTAGGGAATAGGGATAAGGGGGTGATTGGAAGTAAGAAATAAAGGGAGTGTGATTAAAGGGAGTAAGGAAGTAGACATATTGGAGTGAAATATGGGTGACAGGGTAGGTAAGGTGAAGTAGGGGTAAGGAGCAAAGGAATAGGAGAGGAATTGGGGCTTGGAGATATGAATGGTGAAGATAGTAGATGGTGATGAGATGAAAAGTGAAGGTGTGAAGACGACAGTGGTGTTAATGGGATGAGCATGAGGAGGGTTTTACTCTGATAAAAAGGACTGGGGCTGATGTTTCCAGAAATTGGGGTTGGCCTTTAGCTTGGTTGCATCAGCATCAAACCATCTCAGTCTTCGCCCTGAAGGGGAAAGTCTGATGAAGAAGTCAATTGCCCTGGTAATCTTTGCAATATGAATGTTCAGAATTGAAACATTACAACAGGAATTTGGAAATAAAAGGACAAAGAGACGTGATATTTTGTGTGTGAAACATAGCAGCCACCCCGCTGAAGGTACAAAACCTAAAGGACTGAAACAATCGGTCAACGGGAAGAGGAACAAAATGAAGACAAACGTGTGATTGTCTTCCTGACCACATTCGGCTACAATCCTTCACCTGTTGTGTGATCGTAAGCAAAGGGAACATCCAGCCATCATACTACAATCAATTTATCTTATGTCTGAATACTAATCTTCAGATGGCAAGCTTAATTTAGAAACTATTAAGTGTCATAGTCAATTTTTGCAATCCTAGTGTATAAGAACTTGTAAATGAATTGAGCACCTTATGTGGCCACCTGACAACAATGCAAATCTCAAGCAGCAAGGGCATATCCGAGCCATTCCCTTCCATTCACCAGTGTTAGAACACTGGAATATCTCTGGCAGTCAGTCTAAAAAAAAGAATTGTAACGATACTTGAACCATTTATCGGATTGACCTTAATGGACGTGGACTTGGCTCCATTCCAATTGTGTTTCCTTTTCTTTGCTTTTTTTCAGTTTTGAACTTGCTTTTGATTTCATATGCTGTTTATTGTTCTGCCACTCATACCTCCTTTATTCATGCATTTTGTTAGCCTATTCATCTAATTATCACCCTCTTTGGTCCTGCACCATTAAGTCTTTCTTATTTTTTAATCCCTCCTGTCATTGATTCCATGATAGATCTTCCCTGTTGTTCTTTTCCCACTTTCTCCTATCTCATTTGCTTAAAACTTAACTCTTAACATTTCCCAGTTCCGAACAGAATTTATCAGCTTGAAACATTAACCCTGTTTATCTCACCATAAAAAGTTGCCAGGCCTTCTGAGCATTTGTAGTGTTTTCTGTTTTTAATTTCAGATTTCCAGCACTTGTGGTATTTTTGTGTTTGGCATTTAGCTGTGTCTGTTTTATATTGGGGGAAAAAAATCTTTTTGATCTTGGATTTAGACTTATCATACATGGTAAATAAAATCTTCAGAAATAGCTCAAGATGTAAGAGCTTAATTGGAGGTCTGAGCGCAAGTAGCCAGAATGAGATGTTAGAGTGAATGCAATCATCATTTAAGAAAAAAAAATTCTAAATGCATGAGTTTTCCTGGCAACACATTGCAGAAGGAAAACACTAAGAAGCAACAATACTGCCAGCCCTAAGACTAAAGAAAACATTCTGACTTAGAAAACCAAAAGCAGCGTGTGCCAATAAACTAACAAATTTAAATTCAAGATTAACATTTTAATCAGCCCAGATACAACTGGCTGCAACCCACTTAACTGGCACCAAATCCACAAACATTCACTCCATCCATCACCAACACACAATAACAGCATTGTGTATCATTTACAAGAGGCATCTCAGAGATTCTTTAGATGGTACCTTCAAAATCCCTGATCACTAAAAGAACAAAGGCAGCAGATATGTGGAAACCATCACCAAAAATTTATCTCAAAGCCACTGATCATGCTGATGTGAAAATATATCACTAATCCTTCACTTTCACTGAAACTTCCTCCCAAACAGCACTATGACTTTGCACGCACCAAATGGACTCCAGTAGTTCAAGAAGGTAGCTCACCATCACCTTCTCCAGGGCAGTTAGGGATGAGCAATAAAATACTGGGCCAGTCAACAAAGTCCACATCCCCTGAATGAATAAACAAAATACTTTTGGAGTTGGCAAGTTGTGGGTTCAAAGACTACTCCAGAGATCTGAGGAGAAAAACATTTAAGCTTAAGTACTATTCATTTCCGAGCAAATGCTACACTGTTGGAATGACTGGCATTCAGATTAGATATTCAACTGAGGCGATGTTTACTGTCAAATTGGCATAAAATAACCCAATGCACTACTTGGAAGAAATGCAGGGTAGTTGTTCTTGATGCCCTGGCCAATATTGAACTTAATCAAAAGTAGATTATCTGGTCATTATCACTTTGCTGTTTTTGCTGTGCACAAATTGGCTGTCATGTATCATTTATTACTAAGGTGGTTACGCTTCAAAAATACTTTGGTTTTAAATCACTTTGTGTTGTCCTGAAGTTATGAAAGGCGATATATAAATTCAAATCTGTCTTCCTACTACATGAGTCAGTATATTTTTATCTCCTTGAATTTATTGGATGGTGTTTCATGTCCTTTATACGGAAGCCTTTCTTTCTTTGTCGGTGCTGGCTCTTTCAAACAATCTCATTGCATTACACTCATGTGACATGCTCTGCTAGACTTTTGCCATCATTTGATAGCAAACAAGGCTGACTACAGCATCAAATGTACAATACAAAAGCAATAGAACTGGTATCATACAGAAACCAAACTTATACTGAATGAAATGTATTTAACAGGACGAATACAATGTGAAATCTGCAAAAATGTCGGCTTCAAATACGAAATGCAGTCAAAAGAAATGTTCCTAACTTTTGCCATGGATCCACGATATCTATTGGTAATGCTCACTCATAAGAAGCTTAAAGGTTAAGTGCTATGTTTTCAAGTTCAATGATTGGATTACAATCTATGCTCACTCTCAGTTATCCATTGTTCCTGGTGAAGAACGTCATCTTCACCACATTATTTCAAAACATTCAGAACACACTGGTCAGAATATATCCAAGTTGTGTGTAATCTGTAAATTTTAAACTTCAAACCTAGTCTATGGCAGTAACATATCTTCACTTTATGCCTTCCACCAGTCTTCGAAACAACAGTTTATCACTAGTCTTTGTATTAATTGCTGCCACTGTTCCTTTTATTCAGTAGGTATAATGAGAAGCTGATTGAGTAGCAATTTGTCAACTACCTTTTGGAAGTGCATGAAGTGTATTATCCTCATCCTATCTGTCCCTTCATCGAAAAACCCAATTAAGGTAATGAAACTTATTTTTAAAATTTGTTCCTGAAATGTGAAGCACTGCATTTATTGCCTCTCTAATTGCCCTCAAGAAAGAGATGATTGGGAAGTCACGTTGAGGTTGTACAGGACATTGGTGAGGCCTCTTCTGGAGTACTGTGTCCAGTTCTGGTCATTCAGTTATAGCAAAGAGGTTATTAAGCTGGAGAGGTTCAGAAGAGATTTACCAGGATGTTGCTGGGTCTGGGAGGTTTGAGTTATAAAGAAAGGCTGGATAGGCTGGGACTTCTTCACTGGAGCGTAGAAGGTTGAGAGGTGACCTTTTGAGGTTTATAAAATCATGAGGAATATAGACAGGTGTTTTTAACCTAGGATGGGGATTTCCACACTAGGGGGCATATTTTAAGTTGAGACGAGAGAAATTTTAAAAAGACATGAGGTGCAAACTTTTTACACAGAGGATGGTTCATGTGTAGAATGAACTTCCTGAGAAGGTGATAGATGTAGGCACAGTTACAATGTTTAACACACATTTGGATAAGTACATGGATAGGAAAAGTTTGGAGGGATATGGGTCAGGAACAAGCAGGTGGGACTAGTTTAGTTTGGGATTTTGTTCAGCATGGACTGGTTGGACCGAAGGGTCTGTTTCCAGCTGTATAACTCAATGAGCCATTTTCTTGAACCACTGCAGTCAATGTAGTATACGTACACACACGTCACTTTCTCTGATACAACTAAATAACTTGCTATACCATTTCAGATGCCAGCTAAGCGTCAACCACATTGCTGTGGATCTGGAATAATCTAAAGGCCAGACTGGGTAACATTAGGAAGATTTCCTCTTCTGGGAATCAATAGTGAACCAGATGAGTTTTTAACAACAACCTGATATTTTAAAGATCATTATTATTGAAACCAGCTTTCTAATTCCAGAATTGTTAACTCATTGAAGTTAAATTCTCCCATCTGCCATGGTGGGGTGGATCTGAATTTGTACCTCTGGGATATTAGTTTGGGCATCTGGATGATTAACCCAATAGCATTGCCATTATGCTATCCTCCCCTTTAATACATCTTTTCTGTTTTTCTTTACTTAATCCAGTCATCTGAATGGCTGATTACATTGAAAAACTCTCTGCAAAATAACCCCTTTCTGTTTACCGTACAATTTATTCACAAACCTCAAACAAAGTGGCCTAAATTACATAACCTTCATAATGTATTATCATAATATAAATAAGGCAGACTTCCTCCTGCTCTTCATCTGTTCTAAATGATTTGTCCTTAAGACATTACTTGCCCTTTAAAATTACCTACTTCCTCCTTGGTTAAATTTCAGCTCATACATAACTTAAATATTTTCTCTGACATTCAGGGTCAAACCGATAACTAGGCCAGAAAAAGTTGATTAGAAGTATATCAGTAGCTTGGCAAACTATCTTACTGGATATTAAAGAGAAAATTCCATACTCAGTGATAATGTTCTGTCTGGCTTATCATATTTGACACAATCAGTTCATCGTTTCAGTTTACATCAAAGTGATTTGAAAATTCGGAACATTGAATGGAGATATTTTGCTTCAATTCAGGACGTTTTCACTGCAACACAGTTCATACTGGAGATCGGTGTTAAAGAAACATTATGGTGCTACAACTTTAAATAAACGTAATATGAACAATGCTTCAATCAAGTGAACGTATTCAAGTACAAGGGTAAAGGTTAACAGTTCAACAGTCTGCTGGCATGACTTGATGTTCTAACTAAGTTCCATGTATATAGTTTGATTGGAATTGCACAGCTATTATTTCAAAGTTGAGTGAAGCTTTTATATTATCTGTAAAAACTGACAAACACCTTGGCTCAGAAATGTTCCTGATTTATTTATTCTCTCTTTTCAATGCTGCCCTGCATTCCTGAGCAGAAACAGAGCTTTGGTTGCAAGTGCAGTGGGTTGAAAACCTGCTGAAAATGAACATGTAGCATCGTTCTGAAAATCATTTGTTTAAAAAAAAACTTGTGGAATTTCCTCAAGAAAGTACGAGAGGTCAGTGAGAGGGTCTGTGAAGAGATTCTCCCAACTTTATGGTATCATTAAAATAAATGTAGTTCTTATCTCATTTGTCCAAATTGACTTCTTACAGTTTTATTTAAAGGATTAGAGTTTATAAACTGCAAGGAAATGGCCTGGCACCCATGGAACAAACCGACAGGGGATCAGCCAGGAATCTCTTGTCAAAAGCATTTCAACTGTTAGTTAAGTAGAAAGCAGATGCATTTGAAGATCTTTATTCATCCAAGTTGCACATTTTATTTCTATTATCAAAAAGTGATACTGGTTCTTTTCTTCTGGCTGACTCTGCAGTGGATCTGAGATGTGTATAAGGACAAAAACAGCAAGACTCTTCAACAAATCAGGTAGAAGAATGCTCGTGTAAACATGCAGCAATATTCAAATTCCCATAAATCGATGGATGTGAAGATTTCATGTCTTAGGTGAAGCTATGTGGTAAGGAACTCAGGTTTTCAAATATACAGTGCAGAAGTTAGGCAATCAAGCCACTCCCAGGAGCTGGTTGGTTAAACAAATATTTTAAAGATTGGATTTGTGACTCAAAGTTGATCTTTATTTGAAACTTAACACTGTGTCCACAAATTTCCTGGACATTAGGACAAGGAATGTTGTGTGCAAGAGTTAATGCATTTCCAGCACTATGATCTAGGAGGAGCAAAGGCTGCTTGACAAAGTTGCTCATGAACCTGCCTCTCTCCTATGGATTAGATTAGTTCACTGCTACCAACCTCACCCCCTGCTCTCACCCAACTTGGAAATTATGCGCCAGTAAATATTGTGGAATGAAGAAACTGAAGCAGGAATTGTTATGCAGAACACCATTATGGAAAGTGAAATAAAGAAAACAAAGAAAGGGATGGGATTACAGGGGGCAGTTAAATGAGCCAAAGATAATGTGACAAAAATTAATTTTCTTTGAAATCTCCAACAAATTTGAAGGAATGGGACTGCACACTTGCATTTTCAGTACCAAACAGGTTATTTGTGAAAATAGAAAATATCTAACATTTTTTTTCTAAAAAAAAAACTAAGAATTCTGAAATCGGAAACAAAAACCGGATTTGCTGGTGAAACTCAAGCTGGTCTGGCAGCATCTATGGAGAGAAAACGATGTTAATGTTTCAAGTTCGATTACCTTAACTTTTTTTCTGATGCGTTTACTGGGCAAGGAAACCTCCTGCTGATAATGTGGTAGTCTAGCACCCTCCCATCCTTGCCTGATGTATCTGTCTTCTTCCATGTTGAACACCACTTGGCAGAAGCACTGAGAATGGTGAGGGTGCAGAATGTACTCTGAGTGGGAGACTTCAATGTCAACTGCCAAAGTAGCTTGGCAGAACCACTAGGATTCCATCAGCTGAGTTCATCATGAACAGTGCTGCTAGAATGGGTCTGCTACAGATGATGAGGGAGCCACAGGAGAGAAAAACATATTTCACCTTCTTCTCACCAATCAGCAACCCTTGGATATTTCTGTTCATGACAGTATCAGTAGGAGTGAGCATTGACAAAGTCACAACTTCTCATCATGTGCTGTGGCACTGCATCATGGGAAATGGAACAGATTTCAAACAGATCTAACAAGTCACAATTGTTAGTCCATAGAGCGCTGTGGCCCATCAGCAGCAACTGAACTGCCCTCAAACATAATCTTCAACCTCAAACTCTAGCATATGCTCCATTCTACAACTAGTAACAAACCAGGAGATCAACTCTGGCTCAATGGACAGTACAGGAGCAAGTGTAGGAGCAGCACCAGGCATAATGAAAAAAAAAGAGGTGTCAACCTAGTGAATCTCTAAAATAGGACTACTTTCACATCAAACAGATTAAGCAGAAAGTAATAAACAGAGCTAATTCCACAGCCTATAGATCAGATCTGAGCACTGCAGTCCTGCCACATCCAGTCATGATTGGCAGTGGACAATTAAACAACTCACTGGAGGACGGAGCTCCAAAAATATTCCCATTCTCAATGATTGGAAAGCTCAGAGCCTCAGTGCAAGAGATAAGGCTGAAGCATTCACAACAATCTTCATGCAGAAGTGCTGAGTGGATGATCCATCTCAGTCTCCTCCAGAGGTCCCCAGCATCACAGTTGTCAGTCTTCAGACAATTCAATTCACTCTACGTGACGTTAAGAAATGGCTAGAGATACTGGAAGCAAAGGCTGTGGGCCCTGACAACGTTCCAGCTGGAGTACCAAAAACTTGTGCTCCAGGATTTTCCACATCTGTAGATAAGCTTTTCCAATACAGCAACAACATTGCAATTTACCTAGCAATGTGAAAATTTATCAAAGTATGTCCTGACCATGCAAAACAGGCAAATCCAAAGATAATTAAGACAATGCGGAAAATTGCCCAGCTATGTCCTATGCAGGAAAAGCAAGACAAATCCAACCCAGCCAGTTATAGCCCCGTAAGTCCATTCGCAATTATCAGTAAAGTGATGAAACGGTCATTGACCGTGCTACAAGGTCGCACTTGCTTCACAATAACTTGCTCCCTGACATTCAGTTTGGTTACTGTCAGGACCACTCGAGTCTTGATCTTATTACAACCACTGTTAAAGAAATCAATAAAAGAATTAAACTTCAGAGGTGAAGGGAGATTGAACAGCCCTTGATATCAAGTGCACAGTTGAGCAAAAATCAGGGAGCCTGAGGAATGCTATAGCCAAAGGGAATCAGGATGGCCAGCTCGCCACTGGTTGGAGTCATACCTAGCAGAAAGAAAGGCAGTTGTTTGTGGCTGTTGGAAGTCAGATATTTCTTCAACAGCACTGTCAGAAGTCCCCAGGCTTGTGACCTAGGCCCAACTATTTTGAATGCTTCTTCATTTCATAAGATCTGAAGTGGCTATGTTTGCTAACAGGCAGTGATCAGCACCATCCATAATTCATTAGATACTGAAGCAATCCATATCCAAATGCAATAACATTTGGACAAAGATCAGCTTGGGCTGACAAGTAGCAAGTAACCAGACAAGTGCCCAGCAATGATGATCTCCAACAAGAGAAATTCTATGTATCACCCCTTGACATTCAAAGGCAGTTCCCATCACTAAATCTCCCACTATTAGCTTCCTGGTGCTTACCGTTGACCAGAAATTGAACTGGACTTACCATAGAAATGTACGATGACAAGTGCAGGTGAGAAGCTAGGAATCATACATTACATAACTCACCTCCTGACTCACCAGCGTGTCTCATCTACAAAATACACTGTAGAAATTCACTAGGGCTCCTTAAACACCATCCGAAGCTGTAGCCACTACAATTTAGAAGCACAAGGCAGTAGATACATGGAAACACTACCACTTACAACTTCTGCTCCAAGCCACTTACCATCCTGACTTGAAAATGAATTGCTGTTTCTTCAGTGTGGTTGGATCAAATTGTGGAACTCCTGTTCTAACAGCATTGTGGGTGTATGCACACCAAATTAACTGCAGTGATTCAAGAAGGTAGCTCGTCACCACCTTTTCCAGGGCACTTAGGGATGGACAATGGAATGCTGGCCAAGCCAGTGAATCCCACATCCTGAATGAATGAAAACAATGCTGATGGACCTCTACAATGCTGGCTTTATTATTGTTAACTACACTGCCAACTGTCATAGTGGATTTTAAGTTACCTACCACTGGCAGCTTGTAGATTTAGGTACAGTGCGACTAGCAATCCTCCTCTCTATGTGGAATGACAGGGCTTTACTAATTATCAGTGGTTGAGGATAGATTTCTGGTCAGTTTTAACATTAAGAGATACATGTCTTACATTACTAGAGATGGTTTCTTGAATGATAGCAATGGTACAAGTTACAGTGATGAGTTAGGCATAGTTACTGAAGGCAGTCAGGGGCCAGAGATGACACACTGCCTCTATCTGGACCTCATCCTATACTGCCAGATCCTCCAGCCAAAGACTGTGTAACATCATCATATTAGGTGGAGATTAACTCAATTTCGTATTTAATACTTTTAGAATCGATATATTATGTACCACCACCCATATTACATGTGCTACATTTGCTTTTTAAATTCCAGTTTAAGTGATTAGTTTCCTTCCCAATTTTCTGATCCTTCTTCCTCAGAGAGCCATCTTCTGGTGGAGTACTATCCTATTTGGATGCACGTGTATTTTTTAAATGATGTCTGTGACGATCTGTTGCAGTGAAAAGGAGCAGGATCCACGTTTCTTCTTTGCGTTGGCCCAGCTGTGAAGCCAATTGTGAAACTGCAAATGTATTCCCAGCTTTAGACCAATGAGCTAAACTGTGGCCAAGGATTAATTATGGGATCTCTCCAGTCTGATGGACTCCACACTACACTGGGTGCTGCATTCACTCACTGTCACTGTTAAATATGTTATCAAAAAGGGCTTTGTTGTTTGACCTTCAAATTTCACTGTACTCTCTGATTCTACTAGTAAACCTCAAACATTTAGTGCGGTTTTCTACAGTGTATAGACTGTCCTTCTGTGCAGTGAGCTGATCTGGCTAACAATGTGAAATGCCAAAATCAGAACCCACCTCAGTTGAACATGCAGCCTTATTCTGGCCAGCATCAATTTGTAAACCACATCATTAACAAAAAGAACAAATTATCTCAACTCATTACTGCTGTAGCATCTTGCTGTATGTAAATTGGATTCTGAGTCTCCCTCCATCACATTGCTGGTCACTTTTGTATGGTATTGTGTTAGCACTGAAAGATGTTGAAGCTTTTTTTTTAGTGTGATATTCATTTGTATTGAGAAAAAGATGCAATCGCCTAAATTTAACAGTTCTGCCTCAATAAAATATTCAGAATTAAATGTTCAGAAACTGTCAACACGTCTTGAACTTACAAATATTTTATTTGCAGTAATTCCTTAAAACAAACTGGTTTCATTGACTAGTGAAAATTATAATCCTTCAGGAATCAGAATCCCAAGCAGTTAAGATATCCTATCATCCATTCAGTCCAGCACAACAGTATCCCTATTAAATGATAATTTATTAAATTGCTGAATAATAGAACCTGCTGCTGTTAGCAGGGTTAGCATTCCAACAATTCTTTCCATTGGAAAGAACCTTAATTAGGTCATATTTATGGCAGAGAGTTCATCTGGTGCACCAGATGGAAAACATTTCATGGTTTTATATGGAAATAAATCAAGAGGTAGGGGGATGGCAAAAGTATCAATGGGGATTTTACAAATATAGTCAAACCCTGCATGGAGAATGACAAGAACTCCCCCTCAATCATTACAAGTAAATAACATGACTACATACAAACATGCTGTGGTTCTTTATTTAATACAGTGAACTGTTACAGCGAACAGATGACAAAGCCAACACTCCACCTTTCTAAAAGTATGATATCTGGTTTCTGTCTGGAGGTAACTGGTGGATACATTCCAACCTGGAGGAGTTTAAAATCCTAATCCTAGAAAGCCCTCAAAAATGGCAAATATACTCTGATCTGAAGATTGTCAAAGAAAATCTATCAAAAAAGACAGGCCAAGTTTAGGTGCACAGCCTTTGCGATAAAGGGTTTTACCGATTAATTTCATGCCTGCTATTTCTCATAATGTTCAGAATACTTTTGTTTAAGTTTTTCTGGTAAAGGAAGGTACAAAGGGGTAGCGTTACAATGCTTTAGACATATCAAAATGAGTTACTAATACCTCAGCAACAATAAAACAAATTAAAAATGACGTATACCTTGTAAAATAGCTGCGCATAAAGAACAGTAATTATTTTCAATTCATTCATGGGATGTGGGCATCGCTGACTGGGCCAACAATTACTGCCTATCCCTAATAGTCCTTGAGAAGGCAGTAATGAGTTGTCTTCTTGAATCATTACACTCTGTTTATACAATGTTTATACTCATCAGATGAATGTTCCAAAACAAATATGAGACATTCGTTACCTTATAATATTCTTACAGACTTACTTCTCTGTAGATTTGATCATATCAATTCTTTTCTGCCACTAGTTAAAGTTTAGGTGTTTGGATCATCTCAGTCAAAACAATGTTTATTTAATTCAGAATCAGAGCAATGTGCACGATTAGACTGAAAAGAAAAACTTGATCCAGTTCTTCAACTGTCATTGGTTTCTGCTATTGTCTTTTTTTATTTGTTATTTTCCTCAAAAATAACAACTCTGCTATTTTCCAAAGCTGAGTTTTTTTTATAACTGACCTATTTTCTAATCAATCTGTTCAAATATGTTATTTCAGATCTCTGGAGCAGGTGGGACTTGAACCCAGGCCTCCAGGGCCAGAGGTAGGGACAATACCACTACATGACCAGAGGGTCAAATTCAGTTTAATTTAAATTTCTGAACGTGCTTTATATCTTGTAAACCGACAAATCCAGGATTGGAAAAATCTTAATATATTCATATATTGGAAGTACTTATAAAGATGTGAAAAATGCTATTGTGTTGGTTGTAGTCTCTCCGAGTGTCCCACTTCACTTTTTCTTTTACACTTTTCAATAGCCATCACTAAAAAAAAACACAAAAGTTAACACCAAAAGAATGTGTGGCAGGATGTTGCTTTGGATTAATGCCCCTGTTATGCCAGTATTTATGCTCATTTGAAACTATTACATACCACTCAAAGTACTTCAACATTTGTCTGTTTTGCATTCTTGAGTGTCAATTAATTTGCTCTTTGAAAATACAATGTAGATTACCTCTTCACCAGTTCTTTGGAAAACTGGAACTATTGTGTTGTTCAAGCTGGCAGAACACACTGGATCTGAGAATAGTGCAACCTGTACCATCAAATGAGGAATGGGAAAAGTGGAGAAGTATTCCATCCCTTCCCGCGTGGTTGCAACACAGTCCACAATTGAATACAATGAATGTGGAGTTAATGAATGTGAATGAATTTCATAGCAAAGTTTATTTTCATGACAGTTCATATTTGAAAAACAATTATGGAATGTGGATGCCATTGTTTGAGCCAACCTTAAATGTCCAGAGAAGAATCAGGAGTCAACCACATTGCTGTGGATCTGGAATCACATGCACGCGTGAAGATGGCAGGTTTCCTTTCTGAAAGCACACCACCAGATGGGTTTTTACTGACAATCAAGTCAGTACAGGGTCACCATTAGGTTAGCGCTATATATATATATATATATACTTTTTTTAATTCCAGATTTTCTTTTTAATTGAATCCAAAGCTCATCGTCTTCTATAATAGGATTTGAACCCATGGCATCTGAACATTAGCGCGGGGCTCTGAATTACTAGTCCAGTGATAATACTGCTACCTTGCCATCTCCCTCCTGCTGAGCTTTGAGCTGAATATTGAAGTTAAGGTCTTGTGCAAGCACTTGATATAAATCTCTCATCACTTCTACAATCTGCAAAAAAGCTGGATGCACATTTAGTATGTCATTTAATTTATTATTCCTAGCATATGATATTAACAAGGTTACGGATAAAGATACAGGTTGAAAGTAAGGTGGAAATCATGTTGACTTTGAGCTGTCCTGTCAGTAACTGATTGGAATTTTTCCAAGGCTTGAAGTATTGTTGATATATGATGCAGTGAAACACAAACAAGACATTAATGGATTTGTCTGGCTACCTACAAGGAGAATGTCACCGAGCACTCAAAGAAAGATCATTCAATCTTCACCGGCAAAGACCATCAAGGCATCAAGCCAAAGGAAAGGAATCTAAACCATCAAACACTGAACTATTCAACTCTGGAACCAATTCCTGCAACTTAGTTTGCTAACAATCTAGAAATGTGGAAAACTCCTTCAAAGAATCAGGAGATTAACATTCATTGAAGTGAACTAAGCGTTTCATTCTAATAAATGTGTTAACACAACCATAATTTCTGTTCTAACAGCTACCTTAAAAAGTGAATGTTATTCATGGATAGTGGGAACTGCCGATGCTGGAGAATCTGAGATAACAAGGTGTAGAGCTGGATGAACACAGCAGGCCAAGCAGCATCAGAGGAGGAGGAAAGCTGACATTTTGGGTCTGGACCCTTCTTCAGAAAATGTTATTCATGTCTCTGTTCTAGTTGCTCTAAAGCCATGCCATTGTTTTCACATCAGTTTAATGAAATGGCTGAATGGGTAGAATGGGTGTGTAAATGTGAAAGCAGGAGTAACAGAGGCTGGACCATAATGGAGAATGAAATGCAGGGATTGCATTTAATTACCCATTAACAAACAAGGTATATGCAAATGCAGAGATGTAAATATACTCTCTCATCAAGAGCATTCATTCAGTCTTGAGAAAAAGTGATTTCTACCATATTGGATTAGCAACAGGAATAGGCAGTTCAGCCCCTTGTACCTTCTTTGCCATTCAACAAAATCATGGCTGATCAGATTGTGGCACCAACTTAACCTTCATGCCTACCCTGACATCAATAAATATATTTCTTTTATTCCAGCTGTTATATCACTATCTAATTAAAAGCCTGTTTTAAATTTGTCTTGCATTTGTTTTCTAGATCTGATCTTCAACACACTGGATGAGAAAGGTTCTCCCCTATTGGAACACATGGAACTTCTCCATGATTTGTCCTTCCGTCGTTGTTTTGGGAAAATACTTAGCCTTTATTCCCTGCTTCAAGGACACCAGTCACAAAACTCTAGGAGTCCTCCACTGGTGGGAAAGTAGAGACAGCATCCTAATGAACAGGTGTCCTGTGCTTGCAACAACTGTAAGAGAGGTTCCCCATATGACGTCTATAAGAAAAATCAAAGTAGCAACACATATATTGTCAATGGCAGACTTGGGGCCCCAGAAAAACCAAAGTGAATGAGCCAGGAAACTTTATGGATGGCTTCAGGGAAACAAATGAAATGTAAGATTCGTGTACCTCAATGCAGTGCCGCCTCAGATCTATCAGTGCTGTTGGCATTAAAAAAGAGTTTGATAAGCCCAATCCCGAATTGCCCTGGAGAAGATGGTGGTGAGCAGCCTTTTTAAACCTCCATGTAGTGCAGGTTATAACCACTATACTATTGGAAAGGGAGCTACTAGTCTTTGATCCAGTGATGTGAAGGAATGACAATCTAATTCCGATTCAGAATGGTGTGTGGTTTGGAGGGAACTTTGCACAGTGGTTCTTGTCCTTCTCAATGGTAGAGATTGTTGGTTTAGAAAGTGCTCTCAAGGATTTTTGCTGAGTTACTCCGGTAAACTTGTTGATGGTACACACTGCTGCCACTGTGTATTGGTGATGGTGTGTATGAATGTTGAAGGTATTAACTGGGGTGTGAATTAAACAGGCTGCTTTAAACTAGATGGTTGTGAGTTTCTTGACTTGTAGGAACTGTTCTGTACAGGCAAAGGGAGAGTTTTCTGCCACACTACTGATTAGTGTCTTTTTGATAGTG